AAGACATATGTATTGCAGGGCAGGAATATAAAACACATTGTCCACAGGAGAATATCACCACTTTGAGACCCACGATGGCGTCTTACGTGAGTGTCCTCCTGCTGTTAGCGTTCTCTGTCCATCTGTCGTCATCGAAGGGACGTCACCCATACATGGACATATACGACAAAGACATGTGTACACGTGCTAAGAGATACTATTCTGACTACTGTCAAGAGGGCCAAGAGGTTGAACGCCCATCTGCTCGAATCTCCAAGATAACACCAGCATTGAGGAAACCAAACTCTAGGATTCCAGAATGGAGGAAGCCACACTCGACGAAACCAAAATGGAGGAAACTAAACTTTAGAAAGCCAGAATTGAGGAAACCAAACTTGAGGAAACCAAACTTGAGGAAACCAAACTTGAGGAAACCAAATTTGAGGAAACCAGATTGGAAGACACCGAGGCACCCAAAAGCAACAACCCCAGAACCAACGCCACCAAAAACAACGACCCCAGAACCAACGCCACCGAAAACAACGACCCCTGAACCAACGCCACCAAAGACAACGACCCCAGAACCAACGCCACCAAAACCAACGACCCCAGAACCAACGCCACCAAAACAACGACCCCAGAACCAACGCCACCAAAAACAACGACCCCAGAACCAACGCCACCAAAAACAACGACCCCAGAACCAACGCCACCAAAACCAACGACCCCAGAACCAACGCCACCAAAAACAACGACCCCAGAACCAACGCCACCAAAGACAACGACCCCAGAACCAACGCCACCGGAACGGATATAGGTAATGTGCTGACAAATATCATTGAATTAATATACAAACAGTAGCAAAACGTATAAGCAAATTTCAGAAGACTTCGAATTCGAAATTTGTTCATAAAATCTGAGACCTAATATTGTCTCAGGTACCTATTAGCCCCCTCTTATAGCCCATGTCTTTAGCAGCGGGCGCACCACTCCCATAGTTGGGAGGTGGCTAGTAAGTAACACTAAGTGTTCCATTCTTTCAGTACATCACTACAGATGCAAATTGTCTGAGGACACAGTTGAAGTGATAGCTCGATAACGGTGGTAGAAACTTCACCAACATGTCGCTAAGTGCAATCAGCACGGAGCTGTTCTCCACAATGGTGTATGGTTCATCAGTTTGTCAATGTTTATAAACGACTAGAAAGTTCTAATGTGAATGACTGAGCAAATATATAGAGAGGTATAACAATTTTAACTAAAATTTCATGTTTGCTTTCCTCCCTCAGTACGACAAGTTGTGATCCATTTCGTGGTAAGCAGCCTATTGTAATATAATTGCAGTTGTTTCTTTGTTTAACTCAACCATATTCTAGCTGTATGACATAAATAATCGAGCCCGCATAACCGACAAATACCGACTGTTTTATATATAGGTCACATGACACAAGATATATATCACCTCTACTCGTGAGGCATGGTGAATGATTTGTAAACATTTTCAATACAAAACATGCCAAACAACCATCGTTGCCATGTTAAGACTTGTTTGTCTCAGTTTTAATTAGCAGTAGTCTGCAAGTAAATTCTGTTTGGATGACCTACATTGAAAATAAGGCCAAAATGTTTGAAAAGGAACTACTAATAATAATACGTTTTTCTGGTCCGAGACATTAAAACTGCCTTCCACAGTGTTGCCATGAGAGCGGACTTACTTAAAGATTCCCTATCATTATGAGCAATGTGTAAAGGGTTTTCTGGTCCATCGTTCACTTTACTTCCTGGTTTGTGCCTGTGCCGCCGTCACATGGTAGAGGTGCTACTTTGCAGAGTCAGCAACACACATTTACGTTTTCAAGCTAGTTGTGTGAGAAGAAGGACAGACAATGCCTGCTATCATCCTTGTCATTCAGTGATCCAATCACACAATGTTCACTTCATATTTGTCTTTATTATGCCCTATTGTAATCTGTTTTGGTGGACTGGTTATTCTCTTACGTCGTCGTATTATATGGATCAGTATACTGGTCTTCTGGAATTGTACAGATCGGTCATACATGTTCATATATTTTTTGTGGCTATTAACGTATATGCACAGCAATCTTTGTATCGGAAAAAATCTGTTCAGGCACGTACTTATATTATAGGTGTTATCTGTCGGTTGCCATCTTCATAGCACTACTCTGAAGGTACTATAGTATATGACAATGCTTTTCTTTTACAGCGGACGTCGCAACAGTTCAACTCCGCACCGTATTCCAACCTTGACGATAACAGTTTCTTGAAATGGAGAGACATCCATCAAGATATCAGCTGCCCCTCTAACACTGTAGCTTCTCCACGAAAGTACTGTCCTTCCCGAACCTTCAAAAATAAAGTGATATTGCAGCAATATGTTTTCCGTCTTCATGTTGGATTATAACCTGTTTAGCAAGCGTGTTCAATGCTTCGGATCCGCCCTCTCAAATGTTACTGTCTTTTCATTGGTCGACACGTGTACTCAGTTTGTCATTCTGTAAATTCAACTTCGACAGTTCGTCGACGTAAGAGCATCAGAATTCTTAGACCTCGTCTTCGACTAAATGCTTGGATTAAATGCTTACCGGAGTGTCACTGGTAACGATGTCTCACCCGTCATTGTGATGACAACAGTGAAACATTATTTTATTAAAATAATGCCCAGGCCACACTCATTTCAGATGAATTTTTTTAAGTGCAGTACTTGAGAAGTAAAACTCATTTTTCTCGCATCACACTTTTGGTCCCCAACATGCCTCAATTCAGCGGGCAATATTTGACTTCTATATAAAATATTATAAACAATTTATACATACATAATTTGGGTGGTCAGGTTCGCCGAATTGGTTGACACATGTAAACATATACCAATTGCGTCGATCGTTTTTCATGATGTTGATCTCTGGATTGTTTGGACACGACTCGATTATTTACAGACCGCCGCCATATATATTGTTGGGTGCGGCGATAAACAACTAACAATCGATCAATAAAACAGAAAAAACCGAACTATTTTAAAATTGATTTTGGTCATAGGTTTGGTAACCACTTAACTTCCCGAGTATTAAATATTGAAATTCCAATTTGGGAGGGGATCATACAGCCCTCCACACATGGACATGTAATACGAATCAAATCTGTTATACCTGCTGCTAACATTTACCTTCACGAAAGGGCTGCCATCCAGCTACTGTCATCACCTCCTTTGCAAATGGTAAACCAGAGTGCACCTGCCATTAACAACACAGAACCAGAAACAAGCAAACTAATTTATAACCACAGATGACACTTATAAATCTATATTTACAGATGGATCGAAGGATGGTGACGCAGTTGCTCGTGCAACTATCATTTAATCCTGAACAATATCTTCTTGATTTCGAGCAACAACTCTATTTTCAGAGCAGATTCAAATGTCATTTTAGCAGCCATTAAACATATCACTAATCAGTCCAAACATATACAGCACATGATGTTTTCAGGATATAAAAAAGCATGTCATGTAGACATTCACTTATAATCCGAATTCTGGAATTATAACATAATTTTACAACTCGCTAAAATGACATCAGCTTTCCAAGCTATGTTGGCAAAACTGCTAACACAATGGCTGATGCCCCTACAATGATGTCTCTCTCAAAACTTCAGTGACACTACGGCCACACAGTAATAATAACATTGTAATTAGAAACTACATCATACATCTAAATAATGCAAATGAAGTGGGGTACCTCAGATATTAACAGATTGCATGCATATTAACCCATTGCCGATTGCACCTACATGGGCTATCATCCCAAAATTATAGAGGTCATTTCAGGTCATGACGATGTCATATTGGCCACAACAATGATACACTTGAATATCTATTGAAATGTAAGGATCCTACATTGTGTATCCCTTGTGATGAAAGAATCACGGTCAATCATGTCTTACATAATTTTGTTGATTATTCCACGGCAAGGGATGAACACAGTGTCAAAATAGTAAAGATTATAGTTCATTCTCATTCAACATTGTATTTTTGTAAAGAAATAGATCGCATTAATAAACGTTGTACAAAGTATTATGTTTAATATAATCGGTGGTATTTATTAACTGAGATTGTTTATTGCTATGCCATCAATCGGGGTAGAAGTAGGGTAAACAAGTTATTTCCCTAAAAGGGTACGTGAGACCATCTCATTCACATTATATTCACATCTACCTGTATTTTAACCGAAGAATGTTTGTTCACTTTTAATATCTGGCTAAACATGCAACAATCACTTGTAACGAGGAGAAAGGTGTAAATCCTGCTGGAAAATTGAACTGACTTTGACTCATATTAGCATATTGCTTTTGTGTCATTCTTACGCGCTTATGAACTCCTGAAAGAAATTACTAAATGACAGATTCAAATGACTCAAATCTAAATCCGCTTGTTTGAATTTAGGGGGATCTAGTCAAATGGGCCGAAGGATAAAAGGGCCGAGAAGTGCCAAGTCAAATGGGCCGTGGTGAAATGTCAAAAGGGCCTTATTCTTAGTCATATGGGCCGAACCAAAACAAAAGTTTACAAATGTTTTTCATCTTTTGTAGACATATATACATGTAGCATAAGACATAATACCATAACAATAATAAAATGGTAATTGCCAAGCATGTCTTTGCATTTAATGGCAGTACATATAGTTCATAAATTAAAGTTCTTAAGAACTAAAGTATCAGAGCCACTAAAGTATAGGTTCATTCCAGCATGTCTTTGCATTTGATGGCATATTCATAGTTCATAATTTAAAGTAATAAAGTTTCAGTTCATTCCAGCACTGGTATATCTGGTTCAGGTTCTACACTACTTTCAGTTTCTCACAAATTCATTCAAACACACATGGGGCTTACACTCTTGAACACAGAAGCGCAGTTGGGCTGAGTTGTCCTTCTTTATACAGCCGGCAAGCAGCGAAGATTTCCGACTGGTCAGCAGATGCAGACTTCTTCACAAATCGGGTTAGCTTGCCATCATGGTGGAGCTGGGCGTGGAGTGGCAGGAGACTGGCTACTTTGTGAAGAGCGGGAATCAACTTGTACAGGCCCAGTTGTAGGTCTGATGTCCCTACATTCATCCGGCGATGCCAACCTAAACTTTTGAAATATATTTGTTAAATATTATATTTTGACATTTGACATTTGAATATTTATTTGATTCAATATTATATATATTTTAATCATTTTTCGTTTTTACAATTTAACAATACAATAAAAACATTAGACTCACAGGTTTTAAATAGACTTGGATTAAACACTTACAACAACAAACATCCTACCCAAATTAGTCATGACACTGATTCAAGACACTAAAAAATGAAAACATTTGAGTCACATGTTCAACTTCCATTTAAAATAACAACAGCAAGAAACTAAACACTATTTATTACTATTTTATTATGATTTATTATAGGCCCTTTTTTTTCGCCCTTTTGACGGCCTTTTGATTTTTGTCCATTTGACTTTTTATTCGGCCCTTTTGTCCTTAGGCCCATTTGACTACAACCCGAATTTAGGTACCTACTTTTCAGTTTGTGCTTTTAACTTTAACAAGTCTATAACAAAACAACTAATAATTTCAAAAATGGAATATTAGTTATCTCGCATTGCCTTAATATCAGAGAACTGAGGTATTTATTAACATAGTTAACCTTCTCAATGGCAGTAACAGATGCTCACACATACCTTTATGGTGCTTAGTAGAACACATAATAGGAGAGGATTCTCTTTGGAAAGTAGTTCAAGGTAAGTTCCATCTTGATAGTGACATTTGAGTTCATCGATTTCAATACGGATCGGGCATACGCTTTGCCCGAAACTTAATAATGATATACTGTTCCAGGATGTAATGAAAAGTCCAATCTGTCCATCCCCAATCAATGATATTCTCAGTTCATTAAGTAGTAGAATAACGCTAAAAACCATTTCACCCAGGTGACGGCCACTCGATTGTCGTGTGACACCTTCAGTGTTCTACATTTGAAATTAATTGTATTTTGGTCCATCTACAATTCAACATTATATTTTCAATATTTTATTCATTTTTCTTACAAACGAGGCGTACTTGATGTCTTCCACAAGCGGGGAAAAGAGGATATCTTTAACATACTTAAACGTGTCTGAGAATGTATTGATACAAAGGAACTATGAACACGCGGATATGGCTGCATCATAATTAAACGTTAAGTACCTCTAAAATATACAAATGATACGTTAAGTTACCTATGAACGTTAATATAATCGACCGCAAACACTGTGTTTGAAATAGTTTGTGAGGGAAGATATACCTTTGTGTTTTTCACGCGACACTGGACAATATTCAAGATGCGGTGGCAGGAACATTTCAATAAACCTAAACAGAATATTGTACTGTACTGCTTCATGAAATGTGTTGCATATTTTGATATTTATAAATATTTAGAAAATATTGGTGTTGATTATTTTGATATTCAGAAAACATATTGGTGGAGTGAGGTACCTATCGCAAGTAGGCGATCATACCCACTCAGTCATCGCGTTTTCCTCAAAATGGAAGTGTGACAACTTATGTCTCGTACTTTCTTTACATCTCTAGAAAGAACAATCTAGCACAGCTCCAAAAGCCGAAATCTGTGAACAGACAATATCATTTAGAGAAAACTGTATCTTCACTTTACTGTATATTACAAATATGTCTATATACTGGACCACACTGGTACCGTAACATTGACAGATTGTTCCCCATTATCCCCGTGTGTAACTGTGGGTTAGTTTCTATTTGATAGTTCTTCCGTTACAGACGCAATGTGGTACATCACACTCGTTTCTCCTCTTGCACAAGGAAGGTAAGTCTCATTACCATGCCTCCGTTATAACACTTCAGTGATTGGGCCACTACCTTTGTTCCATCAATATCGGATAAGGTATTTTCTAAAAGTAGTGTTACTGTATTCATCTTCGGAACACAGCTTAAAGTCTAAGAAACTAACATCAAGGTTAAAATTTCAAACAGACCAACATGCATGGCTATTCGGACTGGGACGGGTCCTAATGTTCTACCCGGGTACCCCACCCTCTATTACCCTACCCTACCAGGATTCCCGTTATGGTAATCCCTGACATCAATTTTGCGAGAAATGGAAATATATTCCTCAGCTCGGGGGCTAAAATTTCGAGTTTTTCAATATCTAAACCATGTGTACACATATTATATTCAAAAGAAGTGAAATTATGTCCAAATCTTCGAAGACAAAATACAACCTTTTAATCATGAAAGAATAACATCCAATATTGTTTAATCTACTAGTCACATGATCATAACGGGTCCAGGTATTGGTACCCGGGTCCAACTCATTACCCACCCGTCCCGGGTATCCGGGTTACCCGTCCCATCCCTAATGGCTATCTTTTAGTAAGGCTACAAGCCATTATGATGATGATGATGTGGAGATTTTACGTGCGCTTTCGGACTTGATGCGTATTTGGCACAAGGTGACTGGCAGTATAGGTGTAAACACATATGTAGTTAAAGACAACATTGGACAAATAAAGAGGCGATGGCATTGCCTTGGATTTATTGAGGTGATGGCAAACACGGCCAATGGGATGGCCAATTAAGGTTATAAATGTCATACACACTTATTAATGAGAGTGACAGAGCGGTATGGGTGGGCTGACAAGTCAATGTACAACGACTGACTGACTGACTGAGTTTGGTTTTACGCCGCTTTTAGCAATATTCCAGCAACATCACGGCGGGGGACACCAGAAATGGGCTTCACACATTGTACTCAATGTACAACGAGGTGGTGATGATGATTAAGAACGGAGATTAGCGACATATACATAATTGCAATTAAGTCATACATATTTGGTTACATAGTTTTGTACCTTTGTCATTATTTGGACAAAGGTTGTCCTGAACCCGTCGCTATGACAACACTAAAACATTTAATGATTTCGTACGCAATAAATCTGGTCTGCAAACTGAAGCGTAGCGAGCCAGGTTTTTCGTGTAAGCCCGATAGGTTGCAAAGCTTTACATGTAGATATTATTGGGGGCTTGCCCAACCTTCTTGGCAACAATCATGTGTAAGCCCGTTTTTTTTTATAGTGGTAGCTACGCCCCTGACTAATTCTTAGATCCGCCGGCTTTGTGTCACCAATTTCGCTACAAAACGCGTGCATCTTTCTCCTGGGTATTTCATTATCATTGCTACCAAACCTCTTTGTAATTCTACCGTTCCTCATTTTGAGGTTGTTATCCGCTTTCTGTAGGGAATGTAAGAATTGGTTTAAACAGTAATGCCTGGAGTGAAGCAGGTCGTCGACATTTAGCATCTATAATGATCCCATGAGAAATGCGGGGGAGTTGGAATTCCAGTAATGATTACCAGTAGGGACACGACTCCGGGATAATCAGCTCCTGAAATAACAAGGGATTGACCTGTTCACTACGATCTACCGACCAATCCGCGGGTATTGGATTTCGTCCTTTATGAAAGGTTGTTGAACCGAACACCGTGTCTATTCCTATTTACCTATTGCATTATAGACTGAATATAATATATATTTGTGTATCCATCAAATTCATAGTGTAAATTCTAGGGTATATGACAAGTGTTTCTCATATTTGGATATAGCCAGTGTTCAATATCAGCTGTTCGCTAGGTGGTCAGGAGCAACGTGACAAAACTGTGAGAGGCTATAAACAATCTCATCGCTTGCAGTGACGCACCGGGGCAAGGAATCCTCCCACCACGATGAAGTAAGTTGAGTGTGTGTACGTTCACGAAGTTAATTTCCGTGATTAAAGTAGCGCAGAAATATAAAACGCTAACGCCATAGAAGGGGCTAGCCATTTAGCTTTCAGGATGGTTCGCAGTTGCTTAAAAATTTAGAAGGACAATGTACAAGGTCATTAGATCGATATAATCTGAGCTTACCTTTCATTCACTTCTCGCTTAGCAGCTAATATTTCCTTTAGAATTCGAACGTTGTGTTGTTTCAATAGATATAAACGATTTTGAAAAGAGATTCTGTCCAAACAAGCTTATCTTTAATAACATCTTATCTTACTCATGTCATTCGAGCTGAACATTTGGAAATTTCATATTAATTCGTCGTACTCGGTTGCATCCCCTGGGCACGCGAGAAACCCAAGATTATGTGTTCCCGCCGATTATGTTTCAAAGATGTTGAAGCCTTGAAAACTTCTGTGATTGGCATTTTAACTTGAAAAGCCTGAGACCTACTTTACAGCTTTACTCTCACATGACCCTGGCATGAATGGCCAGCCACTTTCGCGTCGTTTTAAAGATATCGTTAATTATATGTGGGATTTCTGAAATGCAGATGATAATTGATATCTGAAATAAGATTCGTGAAATTACGAAATATCTTGAAAAGATTTGCCGATATCTTAAATTGGACTATTGATATCATGCTATGATTTAGAACTATCAAACCAATCAATCATTATTTGTTTTTAATGATATCGGTAATTCCTGATATCTGTTAAATGAACACAGATATCAGTCTGGAATTTTTTTACATCTTGAATTCATGCTATTATTGAAGACTTCCGTGTGTTTAGCGATATCTTCAGGTACTTCCGATTGTAAAGCACTGTCGGTAATATTTAGAATTTTTGTTTGGTGAAGATTCTTAATTGGTTCCACGATTGGTGAAGTACCGTGGTTCTTGATTACCTCCAGTACAGTTTTGTCGCCATTTTTGGAATATGTCGCCGGAGGATATTTGTAAAAGCATTCCCGCCCTCATGGGGACCGGAACATTTCATTTCCCGTTCTTTACTTTACGTATAGACATGACACAATGATATAAGTTTGTCTTCAAAATAATAAATGATATCTACAATCAATTTGATTGTTTATATCAGTAACTGTCAGAACTGATGATGTCTTCAATTCAATAAGAGATATCTCAAACTGAATTACAGATATCTCAAATTGAATTAAGTGAGGTGAGTGAGTATAGTTTTACGCCGCATTTAACAAATCAAACTAGCAATATCACGGGGGGTACACCTGAAATGGGCTTTACACATTGTACCCATCTGGGGAATCTAACCAGGATCTTCGGCGTGACGTACGAACGCTTTAACCACTGGGATACCCAACCGCCCCGACAAATTAAATTGAAGACATCTGAAATGAATAAAAATATCTGTAATGTATTTGTGGCTATTTCTTAATCATTACAAAATGTCTTGCATTTAAGATATTTATAATTGATTACACAATGTCATTTAGAAAGCGGTCAAATGTAACATATGTTATATTTCGGATTACACTTTCTTAGTGAAGTACAGACTCTAGTTCTGTTTTATGGGTTGAGTCCCATCCGGGATTCGAACCCACACCCTCAGAGTCAGGCACCTAATCGCCAGCACACAAGGTCAGCCGCCTAACTCGCTCAGCCACTGCGACTTCCACAGTGGAAGTAAAATAAGTTTTATATAATAGCGCTAACTTCAGATATTTTCAGTGGAAAATAAAAAAATAAAAAATGTGGTCAGCCTCCTAACCCGCTCAGCCACTGAGACTTTCACTTCTATGACGGGATTTCATGACTCGATACTGATCTCGTCTATTGTCGTCAGTTGAACTAATATTGAGACTGCTGACAAGAACTTGAACGGACTACCCTATACCTTCCTTTGACTACAGGTTATCGCAGCGTTGGGTGGTGCAGAACAAGCTACAGATGGTTCTGTTAACTGCAATCATTGCAGCTACCTTAGTCCTCAATAGTAAGTATGCTGATACTGCAATACAGTACTGGGTGGATACGGATACTTGCTGGCATTTGTGATGCAGGGCAACACACCAAACAAGATACTGCCGTTACATTCATTAATTTTAATTTACGATTTGGTTTTCTGATCTACAAAGTCAACAACTTAGTTCCTCTTTTCATTTGTATATATACTGAGTCAAAAAAAGAAACTTCACATTCTTTCTTCAGGGCACTATAAAAGAACAAGAGATGGTATGATAGTTAAATTGTTATTATTTCATTGCTGAGATCTGTGTGATGTACTCGATAGTGCCATAATCAGTTCCATTAGGCTACACCGCCGTTCCAAAACATGGGTATACAGAATGTCAAGTCACAAAAATAAAAATGCGAAATTTCTCAATCCAATATCGTGTATGGCCGCCCCGCGCATTCACCACTGCCAAACACCGTCTCCCCATCGACTGCCTGATGCTTGTGAGCACGTGGTTAGGGATTCTGCGCCATTGCTCTTGCAAGGCAGCGCCAAGTTCCTGCAAATTCTGAGGTTGGTTCCTAAGACCACGAAGCCTTCTCCAAGTGCATCCCAAACGTGCTCTATTGGATTAAGGTCAGGGGACCTCGATGGTCAGTCCATGACGTTGATTCTAGCGTTTTGAAGGACATTTCGTGTCAACATCGCGGTATGCGGCCGAGCATTATCATGCTGGAACTGTAGACCTGGGCCATGAGCCGCCATGAAAGGAACGAGTTCAGGGGTGAGCACCTGGTTGCGGTAAGCAGCAGCTGTGAGGTTTCCACAGATGACCAGAAGTCGGGAACGGTTGTTCCCACAGAAAGCACCCCACACCATGCAACTTCCGCCCCCGAATCTGTCGACTTCCTGTACACAACATTTGGCATACCGTTCACGACGTCGTCTCCAGACTCTATGCCTGCCGTCCGCGAATCTGAGGGTAAACCTGGATTCATCGCTAAAGACGACTCGATTCCACTCTCTCTGGGTCCATCGGAGGTGACGTCGGGCCACAGCAGACGTTGACGTCGATGAAACGGCGTCAATATTGGCCCACGATATGGACGTCGAGAATGGAGATTGGCAGCCCGCAACCGATTTCGAATGGTCTGTGAGGACAGTCGACCTCTAAACATCTCAGCCCTGGTTCGTGTAGCCGGCAGAAATCTGTCACGTAGGTGACGTAGGACGCTTTGACGGTCTTCTGCTCGTGACGTCACACGTTGACGACCCGACCTTGGGCGATCAGAAGTGGTGCCAGTTTGTTGTAGACGACCTCATACACAGTACGACGGCTGCATCCCATAACTGATCTTCCCGCTTGCAACATGCCAACGGCACGTTAAAGTTGCACATTTGACAATCGTGGCATTTCAAGTACCGTTAGAACTGTGGTTTAAAAGTGTTTTTTCAATTCTTGAGGCCAATGCAAACACGTGCATATGAAGAAAACTTCGATGCGAAGATCACGTGATCGACTGCACGTGCAAATCCTGATTTGGCACTAACGTCATTTGCACGACGAATGGATGGGTTTGAGTGGGTTTTGCTAACGTTTTTCTAGAGTCGAAAGATAGGGATCCCATTTCGGATACATAGATGTATCATCAGAGAAAAATTATTCATTATTTTTCAAATTACATTTTGTGAAGTTTCTTTTTTGACTCAGTATATATACAAATGAAAAAGAGGAACTATGTTGTTGACTTTGTAGATCTATAGATTCAAATATCTATCATGTTGATTTTCAAGACACTCGAAACCATTTATGTTAGGAGATGGGCTACTGCCTGGCTGTTCAAAAACGTTTGATGTGACTACTAGGTTTATCATTCAGAAAGGTGATCAGTACCTTTCTCAAGTGGGATCCAGCATAGAAGGTATGTATGTGTATATATGTCTGGCCTGAGTCGAGATTGTATGGTGGTTTTCTGTTGTATTTGGCTCTCTTGGACATTATTACCGTAATATTGTTTGAGACAATGTACCAGTGTCCTCTCCCAAGAATCCTTGTCGTCCCTTCGGTGTAATATTGCCACTAACCTTTCTTAGCTCTGAATATATATTGATCGTACTTAAAGTTAACAAAATATCGGAAGGACAACTGAAATTCAAAGCCAGTTTCCAAAACGCAGTACAGCACACACATAGACAATATTTCAAGTGTACCCTGAAATATGATGTATCTTTCATCATGTGACATCAAAAACGTGACGTGATAACGTGACGTAGCCACGAGTGAAAATATGACGTTCTTCACGTCACGAGATGACAGATACACAGCATTTCACGCGACACAAGAAATATTCTTTTGATCATAGGCTTCTAATTTTTATCAATTAAATTTAACATTATTAATGCACTAGGTCTGTCCCGGTGCACTGAATGACTCGACGATGGCCTGATCGGTCATTCGTGAGCCACTGGTGTTATTCCGGGACAAGCCCAATAGCGATCCGTGCCCCTCTTGACGGATGACCCGGAAGGTAAACAGGAGAATATAGAGCCTTGTATAAATGGGCTGTTCATTTTTGCTAGTTTTGTTGGGTCATTTGTGATAGCTTAAATAAAAGGTCACACATTTTATGTTTCTCATCCACAATCTGCACATGGTATTGACTCCACCCTTCCATGATTTGACCCTAAGTTCAAGGCTGTTTCGTGTGATTCGACTAACTTACGGTGACAGTGGGCATGGCCAAATTGAGATTGTGTATCTAGGCCGACATTGTGCGAGTGGCAGGTTGGCGAGCATGCAATAGGAGAACAGCCATCGACCGATTGGTATGTCTATATGGTAGCAAAATAGCTGTCGTCTGAGACTATTTCGTATTGGCGTATTAACATCAGAAGTACTTCAAGCAAGAACGACAACTCTATTTCTGTTTAATTCCAACAGATTTTGACCTGTTTTAAACAATAATACTGGAGACGATGATGATGATGATGATGACGATGACGGTGATGACGATGATGACGATGGTCATGATTAGTTGAAAACAAATTTTAACGTCTAAGTATTATCAGCTGTTCACCTTTTGTTTTTAAATGCATATTTCTAAATACAATTTAAGAATCTCAGATGGGATTTTTTTTCCATGAATAAGCTGTAATAAGCCCCAAAATTGGTACTAAAATGGCTTAAATATATCTGTATATAAGAATTCATGGACAGTCGCTTCGTGACTTCGTGTCCGCGGACCCGTGAAGATCCGGATTAGAATTGGTCTTCAGTAAGCCATGCTTGTCGTAAAAGGCGACTAACGGGATCGGGTGGTCAGGCTCGCTGACTTGGTTAACCCAATTGCGTAGATCGATGCTCATGCTGTTGATCACTGGATGGTCTGGTCCAGACTCGATTATTTATAGACCGCCGCCATATAGCTAAATAATGCTGCGTGCGGCGTAAAACTAAACTCACTCACGCACGTGTCCGTGGTGTCTGTCAGTTGTCTGAACGGACATGTAATCTTGCTGCCATACCTCTGGTGTAGTTTAACATGAATACGCTGAAAGAAATATAAAGTACCCCAGAAACGTTAGGCTAAAATATCTCCCGTGAAGTCATATGTAAGCACAGTTTACGATTTAAATTGATCAGTTGAATATAAATATATTGTTTTGAAACTCGAAGCTATTTATAATTACATTAACTAAAACATGTCGGAAAGCGCGTGCAAAATCTCGAAAGCAAAACCGCAAAGTTGAGGGAGAAAACACAATTGGAAACGCGAGAACCTTCATGTAAACAAACGCACGTAGGTGTCTTTGAATCTCAGACAGTTAATGGCCCTATCTTCTTAAAAACACTGTATTCTAGGCGACACAATTGTGCTGTATGTGTTCTATGTTACATGTGTTATATTTGGGATTACACTTTCTTAGTAAAGTACAGATTCTTGTACTTTTGTTGGGTTGAGTCCCATCCGCTATTCGAACCCACACCCTCAGAGTCAGCCGCAGTCGCTGAGCGGGTTAGGCGTCTGACTTTGTGCGCTGGCGATTGTTTATTTATCTTTTTATATGAATTAGTTATTGTAAGCCGTATTCACAAAGATATGTTGATCAGGTTTATTTTAACAAAGTGTCTATTTTATATTGGTAGATTTGAGAAAAATTACTTGATTAACTGTGTATCTCACTTCTACAAAAAGATTATGCCTTAAATCAGAAGAAAATCGTGGTTAGTAATTTTTCTATTTTTCGCACTGCCAAGCCTGCATTTAGAATTTGCAGAAAGGTTTTTGACAAATTAAATGCATACGTAATATTTGGTAGGTTTGAGACACTTTTGACAAATGTGTATCTCACTTTTACAGACTATAACTTGGCGGAAGATCAAAAGACTTTGGTAGTAGTTCTGACGTACATGCGCAGTGGATCATCTTTCACCGGTGACATCATCCAGATGAACCCGGAAGTATTCTATGTTTTTGAGCCTTTGTTACATCATGCAAGACGAACCAATCAGAGCTCACTTGATGCACTCAAGTATTCCAAAACGTGGTAGGTACCCGTGTTGCTTTAACTGTACTGTATGTCAGGGAAATAAAGAATTGAGGCTTGTAGTGGTTGTTGCTTACTGTTGTTTCGTTGATCTTGAAGCTACATTGGATTCCATCAATAGAACAAGTTTGATGTATAAACGTTTTGGACTTGCAATGTGAAAGGTAAACTTTACAGCTTAATTAGAAATATGTACGCACATGTTCAGTCATGTTTGTTATTGCAAGATGGCTACACACAACTGTTTGACTGTGTGAACGGAGTAAAACAGGATTGCCAACAACCACCACTGCCATTTTCATTTTATTTTAATGATGTTACTGAATTTCTTGATGTTGATGAAGATAGATGTATTGACCTATGTGTCGACTCTTCACTGACGATATGTTACTGTTTGATAGCATTATCCGAGGTTTACAAAAAAAGATTGTGTAATCTAGAAATATATTGTAAAGGTGGTCTTTGACCGTCAATATTAGTAAAACTACATGTATGGTTTTCAGGAAAGGTGGTAGATTAAAGAAATACGAAAAGTTGTATTTTAATAATACCCAACGAGAAATATTTGGATGTTTATTTCTCAGGAAGTGAACCATGGCATATAACACAAAAAAACTTGTCATATCAAGCCCAGAAAGTGTAAGATATTTTACGTTCCCAGCTATCAAATTTCATAAAATTAACATTATCTGTTCCTCTCAACATCTTTGACCACAAAGTACTCGTATTACCAACTTTAGCTTACGGCTCGGAAATATTGGGATTTCATCCCTCACAGGATGCAGACCATGCATACAATAATTTCTTAAAGCAAATTCTTTTTCTTGGTAACTAGGGGTGAACTTGGATGTTTATCTTTCAAAACTAGACAATATATAAAAATTGTAAAGAATACTGGACACGGATAATTACTATACTTAAAGGTCACATGCAACCAAAAAATCAAACATAATTAAAATACAATTATCACTTATTCATGACATATAATATACATTGCTGGTTATGAAAAAACATGTAAATAAAATTATAAGCGTACAATCGCAAATCAAAAGTGCAATATTGTGTACTTGGGTTTACTTCCCAAGAAACAAAGCAGCCGGGATACCGAACCCAGTCAGAGCGGGTGGGTGTGCACTCACGTGTAACGGCTGGTTCATTTGCAGATGCCCCCACGGCTCATTGTGTGTGTATATATAGAGATGTTGGCTTTTGTAAATACATGCTCATTTTTTGTGTATAACATTTTATAATCAACAGACATCATAACATGTCATGTGTTCAAGTATCACACCTGCCTGTCTCTGTAATTACATAATGTGACAGAGACCGAACGCGGGCCATAAATCAATGCATTTTGTTTATGGTGTACAGCCTGATTGGTGTTAAGTTCAAATTGCATGTGGTCAGTGATAGCAGCTGTGTATTGAATATTGCCATTAGCAGACAGGCAGGCAGACACACAGGTGTCAATAAAACAAGACATTGAGTTTTGTCTGTGACAACGATATATGTATATCACAGTTAGAAATTCTGTCAACGCTAAATAATGACATTGCTTTCAAGTATCGAACTGAGAAAGTGACTCGGTAAGAAGAACGTGTGGTGAAATAGACAAATGAAATTATGCAAACAGTTAATTTACTGTCATAACATATAAAAAGCTCGCGCCTGTGAGATATCAACAAAACATTAGAAAAATAGCTCACACCAAAGCCTTCACCGAGTATTCATCGGACAACCCGCTTCACAGCTGCGCGAACCTATTTCACTGCGCAGGTGCTATGAGCGCAGCCCAGCTGTTGAAACCAGTTTTCTCCCGAAGGTCAGGGGAAATAAGTGAAACGTTTGAATTCATATTGCTAAAGATCACCGATTTTGTCCTTTATGCATTATTTCCTGCATTGAAACAGAGTACTATTTCTGCTTAATGTGTCCTTTTTTGTCAGATTTGAGAAATTGTTACCTGAATATTATATTGTAAAGCCAACATATCCTAAATTTGATCAGCTATTATGATCCAAAATCCAGATGTTATTAATTATCTAGCAAAGTATGTATGTTTTGCCATGAAAAAAAAAGAAATAATGTATGTGAGCCCTTGCTGTCTAATGGGTGTCTAACTGTCAAACTCTCACTTTATACAGGATAATTACGAGAAATTGAAAACAATGTATCTTGAATTTAATTACTCTCTATTTATATCGATTGATCTACAAAGATTTCATTATTTAATATTTTATAAATATGTGTTATCGAAGCTATTTACGGTGAGTTTATCATTAAAAACCTTTTTCTCAGTCGCTGCCACAAGTTTGAAGTCCCGAGAACGCGAGAAATTGTAATAAGAATTACAAGAAATGAGATTCAAGAACACTATTCAGATAATTGTGTCTTTATGGAGGATTTCTTGTTTTCCCCGACCGACCGACTCATGTTCAGAATTTGGTGGCTACGTGAAACACAAGAAAGGAAAAATGACGCACTAATGAAGAATGATGACCATAGCTCGGACACATAGCTAAATGTGAAAAATAATTAAACATGGCATAAACAACGTTATTGAATGCTACACTTAAAATGCCGGACAAATTAATCAGATTGTATTTACCATGAGGGTCAGGTTTAGTAATGCTAAGATTCGATCATTATGGCAATATATGGTTAAACCATTTATACACATGGCCTATTTTCCAATTGCACAACTTCCGTATTCTTTGCTTTCAGTGAATCGACGCTGGAGAATTTCCTTGTCTGCAACATGACTGAGAGTGACACTTACACTCAACAGCGGAGTCAGATGCGTCTTAGCTTGGATACAATGAATTACTACTTCTGCACATTGGAACAAGGCCCAAACTCTGAGGGATGCTTCCATCTGTTGGAAAAGGCGTGCCTCAGGTCACGTGTGTCATGTGTTAAGACGATCAGATATAGCATGAAAAATATGACGCATCTCATGGAGAAACATGGCAATATGAAAATCATACATTTGATACGTGATCCAAGGGCAACTCTTCTTTCTCAGCACAAACTTCAAGAATTCAAGATTGATAGCTTGGGTAAATTTGCAGCATTGTTGTGTAACAGAGCAAAGATGGATTTTGATGATTCACTGTTCATGAAGAAACAGTTTCCCGGCCGGATTGCCACGATTCGGTATGAGGACTTAGCAGAGATGCCTCTGAATATCGCTGAACAGATGTACAACTTCATAGGTCTTGACTTCACTGATGAGAATAGAGATCACATCCAACATGTCACAACCAGAAACGGCGGATGTGGTGCCTATTGCAGAAGGAGAAACTCGACGGTAACGATGTCCCTCTGGCGAACTCGTTTGACATACATGCAAGTGTCGCTCATCGACAAAATATGTCAGCCATTGTACCGGGTAATGGGGTACCTACCTGTACAGAACCAAGAACACCTTCTTGATATGTCTCTTCCGATGTATGCGGACGTACCGACAGAAAGCAGGGTTATGGATTATCAGTCAATAAATTCTTAGCTCATAACTTGTTATGAAAACCTTTTCGGAGCCTTGAGGATTAGAATCAACAGCCAATGCTTCTCGTTGGAAGTGAATAACGGGGTTGGGTGATCTTGTTAATGCACGTCAGTAGTGAAGGTCCATGTTCCTGCTGTCAATAACTGGACCTGTGGACCCACATTGTTTTCATTCAAATGGAACGAATATTGCTGAAAGCTGCGTTGAATATCAAATAATCAAACAAACTGGGTTTGCATACATACATACGTACGTATGTACATACATACACACACACACACACATACATGAAAGAAAGCTATGATGATGAATGGTATCAAGTTTGTATGTCTCCCATTCTCGTCATGAGTTTGTATGCAATATGAAACACACATCCCAGGGATATAAACGAGGTGCGCGCGGATGTTTTACATGTCATAAATATGAGGGATGAATTTAATCTCACTTAGAAACAAAAAAATGAATCTTTTCAATTTCATCTTTCAAACATAGCATAAATTCTATGAACTATCGGAAACGGGTTTGCAATATCTTTTGCTGATGTACATGTACTTGGATAAAGTTTTGCAATGTGATTTATCTGCGCCTCTGTAGCTGGTGTTTATGCCACTAGGCAACAGACACGAATGTAGCAAGTCTGATCCACTGAAACAAAACATAAAACAGTTTGGTGTTTTTAAATACATGTAATTCTTTATATGCACTGTGACCAAATCAAAAAGTAATTGTTCATAAAGAATTCCCGGGGATGCTATAACAATCGGTATATGAGATGTAATCTAATGGGTGAACTAGATCAGGTGACGTCATCAAGTGAGGGATAAAGCACGTCCGATATTTATCTTGATTTTAAAAATTCACCCGAAGATTAAAACTATGTTTCTTAACTTCTAACAAAAGACATAAGGATAAAACAAGAACTGAAACTAACAGAAATAAAATATACTAGATATAGGCACAATTTTCATTCACCCAGCGTCAGTAACAAAAGTTACAAATGTGTTAAACATTGGACATTGCTTGATTCTCTCCACTGAAGACCAACACAGATATAACAAGCAGATTATGAATTAGCTAAAAACACGAGCCTCTTTACAAGCTTTGCAACGAAAGAACGAATATTTCACAACTGAAACGTTTGCATAAGGTTGTCCCCTTGTGCCCATTGCGTGAGAAATCACTTGAAAGAATACTTCACATGCCAGTATGTGAAAACATATATGTTGTAAATATATGGATAACGGTGTTACGGCTTAGAATTTCTGACATAGAAAAGGCTTGTGGTTCCCCTTTAAACCAGCAAAATAAAATCTAAATAACTCTAACATATCAATTATATATTGAATAAAAACAAGGTTACAGTGAAGGACAGTACAGACTTCTAATACAATACAATTGGGTCACAAGTCTAAAATATTAACTAATAATAATAATAGTGGGCATTTATAACTGCGCCTGTATCCGTGCATTCAATGCCCGCTCAAGGCGCTACAAAAGGGTAAATCTATGTACAATGTATACAGGCGATTACAAATAGTTGGCGTTAAAAAGGAAGAAGAGATCTGAGAGAAAGCTATGGAGAAGTAATGTGTTTTTAGAAGGGACATGAACGAGTTCAGTGATTCGGCACATTTGACGTCAGCTGTCAGTGAATTCCAAAGCAATGCTGCAGTGTAGGCAAAGGTCCTCTGACCATAGGAGACAAGTCTGACTTTAGGGACTGTAAGTAAGTGCTGATTCTAGGATCTTAGACATCTTGCAGGGGTGTACAATGTCAGAAATTCAGATAGATACTCTGCAGTTTGACTGTGGAGACATTTATATACAAGGCACAGGCTTTTGAAATCCACACGGTACTTAACAGGGAGCCTATGTAGGAAAATGAGAGATGGAGTGATGGGATCTTGCTCAGATTTTAGACATACAATACGGGCAGCAGTGTTTTGAATTGTTTGGAGTTTCTGTACTTGCATAGAGTTCAATCTAGCAAGGAGGCTATTGCAATAGTCAAGTCTAGAAAGCACAAGAGATCTTACTAATGAATGGGCACAGTCTGTGGTGATGTATCGGTGGATTGAGTTAATGATTCTGAGGTGCTGATGGCAGACTTTACGTAGATGGTTTATGTGGACACCAAGTGAGAGATCAGAGTCTATGTACACACCAAGGTCTTTGGCAACAGAGCAAGGTTGAATGACAGAGGATGCCACCCTGACACCAGAGACTGATTCTCCCTGCAGCTGCCTAATAGCTGCCGGCTATCAACAGTTCAGCCTTACTGTCATTGAGCTGTAGCTTTCTAGATGTCATCCATCTCTTCATGCCAGACACACAGTCATCAACAATCTGAAGGTCTGCCAGAAGTGAGCTCCGTTTCAAGATGGTACTGAGCTGGGTGTCATCTGCATATCCATACTGGATGCATCAGTACTTGTTGATAACTACTGGTAGACTAAATGTCTATAGTTACCAGTGTCAGATTGAAGTTTGTTGACAGCTGTTGAAAGTTCAATGTAGTCGTGGCCTCTTGAGAGGTCGATCTTGAAACGTCAATGTTAGCAGACAGATGAGCGTAAATCCAAAGTCGTCCCCCATACATCTCAGCAACCACCCTTTATATACCTATTACACAGTTCTTGACTTTTCTAACAAAAGCTACACTACAATCATTTAGAAATTACTGGAATCCCCTCATAGCTTACAGCATTCTACCGGAAACAAACAAATGGGAGATAACTCTAACTTACTATTAACAGGTGAAATTACATACCCTAAGTTCAAGATTCGTGTTCAAATCCACACTCAGCGCTTTAAACTTTTGCGACCTATAACAACGAAAAGTAAACTATTGTGACATTATAATTAACAAAAAAAATACATCCACATAACAACGGGATAACCTGATTGCTAGGTGTAGAAGAAAATACAGTTAACTTGAAATATATTGTGTTTCAAAGCTAGGCAGAACAATCAGTTGAATATTATTTCTTTTCATTCTTTCAGGTCATTTACAGAAAGACAGAAGGGTATTCAAAGAGACGTAAAACTTATGGGAGGAAAAAAGAGCTGATAGATCGTTGCCTTTTCAGAATCCAGTTTTGAGGTTCCCTGAAACATACTTTATGGTTATAACAATCTAACGTTGGTGGTCCTTTTGACTTTTTATAACCATAGTTTACGGTATATTTAAGAACTATTGTATTTTGTCTTCAGTCCGTTCATTTATCATCCGTCTAAATGCGTTGGTACTACCAACAACTTATATAGTCACCAAACGGAGGTCCTGAAACGTGGTTAGATAAATAGTTCATGTTATTAACATAACCAAACGCACACCCAATCATCACCTCGGTGACTTGACCAATGCATGCCATTGTATCCCTGAGAGGTGGTAAGGTAGCCAAGTGGTTAAAACGTTTGCTCGCCATGCCGAAGGCCCGGGTTCGATTCCCCACTTTACTAGAATGTGTGAAGACACCCTGGTCACCCCGCTGTGGCATAGCTGGAATATTGATAATAGCTGCGAAAACCCGACTCACTCACTCACTCACTCACTCACTCACTCACTCAAAGATGTCACTGATGTCAATGACTTGATTGTTTAATGTAGGCTAGAATATGTTTAGACCGCCATTACATACCTGTAATATCACCTGTTTACTGAACAATAACAATTAAAAAGAGAAACCCTAGGCCTCTAATCACAACACGGGATGATTGCAACTAATTATCAAAATAAAAACATTATCTAAAACAGTTACCGAATATTGAAATATAATGTGTTTTCAATTCTAATTCACGTCATAAACAGCAACGTAATTAACGCAAACTCGTGAGGTCGGCCAAATAAGCTTGCAAACCTGCGAGTTCAAATACGCCTGCAAGCTATCCCGAGAAAATCTGCAAACAAATGATATGACACGAATTGTCCCTATAGCAATCATTACATATGCACTAAGGCAATAGATTCATAGAGAGAGTTAAACGGCTATACTATCATGCTTCCTTTCCATATTAGATATCGTCAGCTTTGGAATTCATACGAGTTGAGTTCTCTCTCCGGACGTACAAAATACCAACAAGCGGACTCGAACTAGTGTTTGCAGTTCATTCCCGAGTCAGAATTGATCATCCAGCTGCCTTAGTTTGGATGTATAGAGTGAATATTCTATGATATATTACAAATGAGCATACAATAACAATGGTTGTGCATATTGATCTGTCTTCCATATTAAACACTGTGTAACTGATCCTCTGGAGGATGCTATAGCATTAATATTGTTGAGAGACTAGAGCCTGTGACTGTCTCTCAGTGGCTGTCCCATAGTAACGAAATAAATGACGGCTTCTGTGAACTTAACAAGGAAACATTGCACCATGACAAGGTATTTAATATTATCGGTCTCTCAATCGAAGGTGTCTATCATGTGTATCGAATTTCAGGGAGTGTTTACCATTATAGGAACTCATCTATTAATATACTTGCGGATATACTTGAAATGCTGACAGTAAGTTAATTGACTGTGAATTTCACATCTAATGTCTATTCATCCACATTGATTTAAATGAGCGAATGTTTAGGCGGTGTTCAACAGTGATATATTGTCACACAATGGGTGTACGCTATTGCAGTTTCATGAATATATAAAAGCGATAAAACAATTTCCTCATCCGAAAGATGCAGGTGAAATACAAGTTTTGCATAAATATTCATAACATTTTTAAAAGTAGCCCTTTTACTGTTTCATAACAAAAGGCATTAAGACAAACTTGCTTATTACATGTCATTCTTCTCCATGTAAAATTCTCGTAATTTATTATATTAAGGAAACTTACTTACTTACTTATTTAGCACGACGTTAAACCCGATTTCACCTCACCTCACTTACTTATTTAATCCTCTTCGTGCTCTTGGCACATAAGGCCGTTACTAGAGTTTTCCAATGCTGTCTATCCTGGGCCCATTGCTGTACCAGGTCCACCCTGCGTCCTTCATCTCT